TTATTTTCCGATAAATTTAGGTTTTCCTGGGTCTGTAGTAAGCAAAGTGATATTATTTTCCTAGATAGTAGTTATTTCTGCTTCTTCACTCCTTGGTATTTTTTGAGGCGGTTCATCACTCTACAAATTACAAAAAAATTTTACATTACGATTAATCAAAGTAAAGCAAATAAATTAATAAAAATTATAAGTTTTGGTCACATTTTGATTTTTTTAATACGACGACTTGAAATTCTAAAATTTTTGTAATTATTTGCATAAAAAAATCGATAACTATATTCTTATTCTATCCATAGTCACGCATGCATTATCTAAACAGGTGCATTAGGTAAATGTCTCTTACCTTCAAATATAGGAAATAAATGCTCTAATTTCCATTTTTTCAGAAACTCCTTTAAAAAATCCATACATCCTAAAATTTGTTCATAAAAAATGACAAATGCATGTTAATAACGATCACTAATTTGTTATACGATATGCGTTTAAAAAGCAAATTATGCAAAATTCCAAGTGGAAAATTCCAAGCAACAAACCCCGTGCGTACTATGATGTGCGATCTATGAAATGCGACGTACGACTGATCGGACTGCCGACTGATTGTATATACCGTCCTTCGTCATCGTCTTTGCGTGTCGTTATTATTTTTCATCAAAAGAGTATTTAGCTATTGGAAAATGGCCATGTTTCTTGAATGAAGTACTTCCTAGCGTATTTTTCTTATTATCTTAAAACAAAGTAACTTGCACTTGGTTGAATGAAAATAGATTCAAGAGAAATTTTCGAATTTTTCAAGAGAACAAGTTTTCTTGAGTTAAGGGAGTTCTTCTTCAGGGAACATATTTTCTTTTAGGCTGAAATAAATTCTCTTACCACTATTTTTTTTTCAAGAACGATGACGACTTTAGTTCAAGTCTATCTTTTTTATCAGTGTATTAAATTCACAAATGAATTTTGTCAGTGTACTACCTAGAAACATAATTCATAAAAATTAAATAAAAAACCGTAATAAATAAAATACCGGAGAAATAATTGGTTTGCTCCACTAAAATTTCGACTAATTTACATGCCACGTGTCCATAACTCAACTGTAGAAACCCGGTTTCGATATTTCCAAAGTTAAAGTTGTTCGTTCCTATATCGCGCACTGGGAAAATTAAGGACGCGAATCGATAGCCGCGTCCGTCGCCCGTTTCCTTCCTCTGCCATCTTTTACCCAGATACAGAGAAAGAAAACGAGGTCGTCACGAATAAATTAGCGTTTATTCGACGACGACGACGACGAATGCGAACTCGCGCGTTTTCACTTTCTACAAATCCACCGTAACCGATCGGCAAACGTAACAATAATAAAAATATTATTTCGAATTGTTTCGCAACAACAGACTCTTTGTCATTATTTTCGAGGTATTTCTTCTTTTTGCGCGTTTCTCTAATTCTGAAGAAAGAAAACAGAAAAAGGTTTGAGGAAGAAAAAGGAATGGGTTACGCACAAATAGAACAGAAATAAAATTAAAAAAAAAACAGCAATCTCGATTAAAAATAGTTATCTTTGTATCTAGTGCGCGAAGTGTTACTTTGGCCATCGATACTTGAATTTTTCAACGAGGTGCATAGCCCAGAGCCTATACAGGCCGAGGTTTAACAAATTAGAGACAAGCTGAAATTTGGCATGGAGTTTCATTTTATAGATCTTTAAACATCCTGAAACCCCAGCGATGAACCATTGAGCCTCAAACCAAACACCAAAACCACCCCTACAAGGGGTAAAAATGGCCCTTTTTTACTTTTTCTTCAATAACTCTAAAACTACGAATTTTAGGAAAAAAAGTCACGAATAAAAAATTGAAAACAAGAAAATTTCCTACCACATAGGTAAAGAACCAACATTTTTAGAATTTCAGTGGCGCAGGTGCGAATTCTTTAATTTAGGAGGATTGTTTTAATAACCCACCATTCTGTGTTTATCTTCAAATGAAAGCATTTTTGAGATAAATCTCGAGCCCAGTATTTTGCAAACAAATCACTTTTGATAATAGCTTATTTTGCCAAAATCAAGCCAAATTTGCTGACAACTATATATTGGGACATCACAACAAAAAATTTGTTTTATACGGAGTTACATCGCCTTAACAACTGCCTGAACTCTTAATGGCATTGTATTTACCAAAGATTGGCACATTTGAGGAGAAAAATTATCCCAAATTTCCTGCAGATTTATCCGCAAATCAAAAATTGTTCATTGAGGGTGGTTTCTTAAATATTGCTTCATTTTATGCCACACAGTTTCTATAACATTGAGGTCCGGACTACTTGCAGGATGGGATAGAACTTTTATATTATTATTACCGAACCAATATTTAGTTGATTTTGCTGAATGGCACGATGCTCCATCTTGTTGGAAAGTACAGTCTTCGTTTGGAAACAATTCTTGAGCATTAGCAAAAGTGAGGTCTCAAGTATATGTTGATATTTTTGGGCGTTAACAGTGCCATCTATAAAATTTAATTTGCGCAAACCTCTTGCTGACATGCAACCCCAAACCATAATCCCCTTAGAAAATTTAACATCCCTCTTTAAGCAATCTTTATGAAAGGCTTCTGCTTTATTTCGTATTATTCGTTTTCGATTATCTCCAACGCAAACATCAAATTTAGGCTCACCACTAAATATGACCTTATTCCAATCATTTTGTGTCCACGATAATTTAGATATTACCCAATTGTAGCGATTTTTCTTTTAAATTTCTGTCAGTAGCGGTTATTCTTTGGCCTAAATAAGAATTTGTATCAATAATCTTCAGGTAATTGATTATCCACACAAAATAAAAGTTTACCTTGTAAAACCCCAGACCGCATTTATGGATATATTTTCGGCAACATTCTCTTAATATATTTAAACCAGTTACAGTATTCCATTTAACTGTTATTTCGGGAAGAGTACTTCTTCTCGCAGACTTGCAAATTTTTACTAAATTTCGTAAATCTCTCTGAGATACAACTTTTGGCCTTCCCGAACTTTTACCTCTAACGTCTACATTGGCAGATGCGCCGTATTTTTTTATTATATTAAAGACCGTGGTTTTTGGAATACTTAAACCATCAGAAATTTTTCGAATTGTTTTTCCCGTACTGTATTGACGAATGATAATTTCGCGTAGTTTTTGATTTGTAGCTTTTCCACGGACCATTACTTTGAATTAAATTAACAAAATGGAGAATTAAAAAAATTACAATTACTTACAGTAAATCTCACTACTCAAAGTATCGAGTCACTTACAACTAAATAAACTTAAAAATACTTGTCCCAACATTTAGTTGTCAGCAAACTTATCCTTTTATGAACAAAATCCGCTACTGTAAATATGGATTGATTTACAAATTCATAAAAATATTGTCAAGTTGTTTAGGATATAGTTATGGCTATGTTTATATTTAAAAAATTAAACATATATTTTTCAGCCATTTTGAAAAACCAGGGCAATAATTCCAAAATATAACCTTGTTCCAACATATAGTTGTTAGGGCTCGTAGAAAACTAAAAATCAGAATAACAAAATAAAATTAAGAAATGTTTCATAATTATGGCATCTAAAAAATATGACAAATACTGATGTAAACGATGAAACTACCTATTTGTAAGAGAAATATATTGTAAGCACTAGTGTCATAATAAACATTTTCTTAAAGAAACCATCTCTTCTACACAGACCACATTCTAACCCTTAGATTTTGTTATATTTCTGTATACAATTTGGCAAATAATTAGTAAACTCTATTTAATCTAAAACAGTTCTAAAAATACCAAAAAACATTATTAATGTTTTAATTATCGGCACGGTAGCAAAATTAATTAGATTTACGCAACAGTCGTATTATTTTCAAGGTATTTTTTCACTTTTTTCTTTTTAAATCTGAAACAGAACGAAAGAAACCTCTGAGGAAGTAAAATTGTTTACGCACAATTGATTTTCATTTCGTAACGATCGTTCTAGATTTTCCGGTCGAAATCTAACTAAAATTAAAATCTCTGGTGTATTATCTATCAACGAAAATAATTTGGAAATCAATCCATGTGCGTGTAATTATCGAAATTCAAGGTAAAAAAACAGTTTATGAGAAACCAAAAAAATTATGATTAAATGCTCAAATAGAGAAGGAGAAAATGTCTTAAGGTTCCTTTAAAGGAAGAAAATTATTTTCATAGATGATAATAAAACAATATAAATAAATATACTCTAAAGAGATAATAATATACAACTTGGGTAATAACTAATACCTTACTGCTTAAAGAAATTTATTGTTATAAATCTGTAGTTGCATAAAACATTGCATTTAACTCTCTATACGTTCTACAACGAGTATTAGTTATAAAAACATCCCATCAGCCAATTAAATTTTTGAAAGTATGTTTTTAAAGTATTTTTTCATGCACTGCATTGTGCAATACGATTTTTAATTGGTTCAAACCAGGGATAGTCCAAAACAGTCATATGAAGCTTTTTTATAACAAATTCAAACAAGAATTCTATAATATTTAAATAAAAATACAGGGTCTCCCAGAAATCAGTGCAAGTATTTTAACTCTAAGTATATTTCAGCCTGAGAAACACGCCTATAATTTTGTTTTGTTTTGAGCTGTTTTCAAACCGTGGCGGTATCTGTACGGGAGGCATAGGATTTTTTTTTTCATAAAATGAGATCGAGACGCGCTGTGATTGGATGTTTGTTTTTTATTGTTAATCTGGGTTAACAATAAAAAAAACAACCTATCACGGCCGGTATCGATCAATTTCAGAAAACGGGGGAACTAATTTTTATAACACGGGCTTATATTTATCGCACTATTTCCAGAAATGTTTTGCGAAATGTTTGACGAAATATTTCCAGAAATATTTCGTGAAACATTTCGGAAATAGTGTAGCGGCTGTTAAATACCCATCAGCGAGTAATGGCAGTAGTAGTACTAATACATATGATACAAAAAAAACCGTGAAAACTTACCTAAAATTAGGTGTAATTTGGCATCGGTTTGGAAAGCGTAATGTAAAGTAACCAAGAAGGGATTATCTCGGACGGCTTCCAACACTTGTCTCTCAGTCTTTGTATGTTCCGTCGTCTTTTTCTTTTGCACAATGGTCGCTTTTTTCAGTACCTTCATAGCGTAAAGGCGCCCGTCGTCAGAACCACCGCGTTTTCGTACCAGGAACACTTTACCATAAGCTGCAACAATAATACCTCATTAGTTCAGAAAATATATTAATCAAATATTAATATACTAAATATCATTAAACAATTAACTGACATAAATAACGACATTAAATGACATTACGACAATAATAGTTACCAAAGCCACCTCGTCATATAAAAAATAGCATCAAAAAGTAATGATATAATTGAAAAATCTGGCATGTGTTGACATACATATGCTCAGGAGACATAGTTCTGACCCAAAAATATTTGAGGAAATTTTGCTCACTAAATTATTGCACAGAATTCTCTAACTTTTTATTTTTTCAGACAAAAAAAACGAGATATGGTATGTTAGTATATGACATAAATTAGGATTGATTGACGTATCAGTTGTTTTCGGTGACTTCCTGTTTCACCGGAAATGAGTACAACTCAACAAATTCAATAGAAAATGACTCTGTAAATTGAATGACATATTATTTGTCAACTTTTGACATTTTCGAACATTATTATATTGCTTCACAAGAACATATAAAAAATGTTTTTGTGCGAAATATTCAACAGAAACTATTTCATCGTATGTTTTTCCAAAAAAGAAACTTATACACCCTGTATCTCCGAAACAATGCATTTTAGGGCACATGTTTATACAAACTTTTTTACTTATTTTTATCTGCTGAATATGCTGTCGAAGTTTCCGGAATACAATTCGGACCACCCTGTATATTTCTGTCCAAGTTGGTTATATTATTAGAGAATTAAAATCAAATTGAGACTAAAATAAATAAAATACGTAAAATAATAAACTCCTATCTAAAAAGAACCTTGACACAAGTGTATTAATTTTATGCAAGAATATTGTAAAAAATTGAATGGATGACGAAGAAGAAATTGAGAGCAATGTTAGGTTTAATGTAGTTTATTTTGAAACCCAGTTTCAAATGTATTAGATACAAAGTGATCAAATAGCGATTTTCGTTGTCACTGGCATAACGAAAAATATAAAAATATGTACAATATGTACAGCAATACGCAAATCCAAGAACGAAGCAATACTGAT